GTAGATGAGTCAGTTCTTCCCTTTCACCTTCACAAAATATAACAACATCACATGCAAATACAATAAAATACTTGGGCAACAATTACATTAAAATGCTTGACTAAAACTTCTCCCCCAATTACCCCCTTTCTTCATACATATACAATTTGAACATTCCAATGCTCTCCTTAAGCTAGTACCAGCTAGCTTGCCTACAAAAGAACATCATAACCTCAATAACACAACCTAATCTTATGGAGGCAATGCTTAAACCAGGCAACTTGAAGATTCCAGGCATTGAGACAACTAAACTTACACAGTTACACAACAACAAGGATCCATCAACTTAAAAAAGCTCTTGGCAGCACATGCATCTCTCATCCATGATAAGACAAGTCATCAACTAAGATGGTAATCATGGTGGCTCACACCACAACACAACCAACATGGTAATCAAGGCCGCCCATGGCTCTTCCACAAGACACAACCAACTATCAAGTTCAACTCGTGAAGCATCCCCAAGCAATAAGAAAATGCAACCAACATCACAGAGCTCAAACCCCAATAGGAAAAAGGTAGTACACAATCGCAAACTTAACATACCAAACTTGACACGGTGGCTCACAACTCCCATTGTTGTGTTGTCTTCTCCAACAAGAACTCTTTTATTTCAGCCCTAATGTTCTTCCATCATCTCCTTGCTGGTGAGAATGAACCGTCCATCTCCCCAAATAAATGCAATTCTCCAACTCTTCTGTAGCAATTGAAAAAAAATGTGAATTTCATGACAATTGTTACCATTGGTTTCCTCCAATACACTCTACAATTTAAGGAACTCGAACTCCAAGCAGCACTTACTAATTCCTCTTTGTCAGAAAGTTTTCCCCCATAGAGTATGAACGGACAAGGGCAACAAAGAAAGAAGCACAAAAAAAGGCCAAAGGGAGAGGGTGTCCAAATTCAATCATCATCAATCCTTCTGCAAACAAAATCATGTTCTATTAGCTATTTGATGTATAAATAAACCATGCAGACCTAGCAGAACACTAACATCTAGCAAGGCAAGTTTTATAATAAATCTAAGTTACCTCTAACATTCACACTTGTCCATACTTATGCCATTAGTAGAAATCTGCTGAAATAAAAACTGTAGAAGATAGAAAAAAAGAAGTTTTTTGTGAGAGAAGGGTAGAAGAGAAAGAGTGAAGAAAGGAAGAGAAGGCAATCTAATATGGCCGCCCTCTTCCATTAGTATTTATACATTAAATAAAAAATGTGTATAATGACTGATATGCCCTTAAAACGTGGTTGATGCAAAAAAATAAATAAATAAACTTAATAAAAACATAAAAACACTACTCCAAAAGCTTCCACATAGTATGTTGTCATCCCCACCTACTAACTAAACAAATAATAAACAAAAACAAGTAACAAAAGTTGTAAAATCTTAAACACTCCACCTCAAGTTTGGAGTAAATGTCACACATTCCCAACTTGCGTAGGTCATGTTCAAGCTTACTCCTTGCAACCCCTTTGGTAAAGACATCAGCCAACTATAATTCAAATGAGACATAAGGAAGACAAACAGCACAGGCTCCTCTACATCAATCCCAATCTCATTTGACAAGGGCCTAATCTAAAGTAATTCTGAGACACCATGGACCATAGATCTATACTGGGCTTCTACACTTGACCTTGCCACCATTGATTGTTTTTTACTTTTACATGAAACCATATTTCATCCCACAAAGGTACAGACTCCGAATGTAGATCTCTTGTCGTCAAGGCAACCTGCCCAATCCGCATTTGTATAGGCCTCCAGTTTCAAGTTCCCATGATCAGTGAATAAAATTTCACTGCCAAGATGCTTCTTCAAGTATGGAAAGTATCCTATCAATAGCCTCCCAATGTTGAACCCGAGGAGCATGCATATATTGGCTCACAACACTCGTAGCATAAGAAATGTCTAGACGTGTCATTCAAAAATATAAAACCCAAGGAACATGAATCCGCTCGCTTTGCTCGCTTACTGAAGATCCAAGAACCTCCTTATTTGTTAATGTTGTCCATTCATTCATCCTAGAAAAATATCTTCTTAAAAGACAACCAACATTACAAAGCCATTTATTTTCGTATAAAGTTTAAACACTCAAGACCCTAACATGGATTTGTTTGGGCTTGCCTCAACGGAGCTTAGTACAAAGGCAGCTTGTAGAATCAAGAATGCAAGATGTTTTTCATCACATCAGCTATTTGAATTAAACCAATTGAGGAAAAAAAAAGAGGTTGTGGGTTTAACATGCATGAGACCATTCTAAATAGTCTTGGCTAATTGCGCCAATAGTCATCTTGGCTAATTGCACCCATTCTAAATAGTTTGTACAATCCAATTTTATATTAAACCAATTGAGGAAAAAAAAAAAAAGCTTGTGGGTTTAACATGCATGAGACCATTCTAAATAGTCTTGGCTAATTGCGCCAATAGTCACCTTGGCTAATTGCACCCATTCTAAATAGTTTGTACAATCCAATTTTATTGTGGTAATAATCCCATATCTAAAAGGATCACTTGTACCTCCTACACCCAGACCCAGGTCGCCAGCTAACTTCGGCTCAATACTCCAACCCTCCATTTCAACTGAATCAACTTAAAAACAAAAAAGGGTCAAGTAGAAAACCCCAAGATCATAATTATCTCACAAGCAAGGGTGGAAAGCCCTTCCGAAGGAAGAAAACCTTACTAGAAAGAAATCTCCCTTCCCAAGAGCCATGGGAGAAGAGAGAACAAGGTATTGATCTCTCCACAAGGCTCAAAAAAGGCCAAAAACTGAACTGCCCCTATAAAAAACATTAAGATATTCATAAAAGTCTAAGCACCCAACACCAAGTCAAAATTGAAGAGTCCAACTTTGACTAGGACAATTCCCCACACTCCAGTTTTTCCTATTGATGCCAAAACACAAATCACCTTCTTGATAACTAAAAACCACCAAAAAATCCAAAAATAGGGAAATCTAAAGTAGATCAATCAATCCTGTATTCCCTCATGCAGTCGGCTGATCTAGGACTGCATGAATCAGCCTCGAGGAAGCCTAACTAGGCTTTGATACCAAGTAGAAATCTGCTAAAATAAGAAATTGTAGAAGAAAGAAGAGAAGTTTTTATGAGAGAACAAAAGAAGAAGAGAAAGAGTGAAGAAAGGAAGAGAAGGCAATCTAATCTGGCTGCCCTCTTCCATTAGTATTTATACTTTAACTAAAAAGCATGTACAATGACTGATATGCCCTTATAGGGCGGCAAAAATTAATAAAAACATAAAAAAAAACACTACTCTAAAAGCTTCTGAATAGCATGTTATGGTCCCCACCTACTAACTAAACAAATAACAAGCAAAAACAACCAACAAAAGCTGTAAAATCCTCGACACCATCTATAAATGCAAATGGGGAGTGAATTTGGCTAGTTTAATGGTACAATCTTGAGCTCTCGAGCTAACAATCATGAGAATGCAAATTTAGCCTAGGAGCAGCTACTCCATGCAAAACAATGCTAGAGGTTAGGTCTAAATCTAGTACACCCCTTCCAAGACCCTGAATTGTCCAGACAAATCTAGGTTAATGGCACTTATTTTTATTTTTTTATAGGTATACACAAATTTCATTAAATAAAATAGAAGGCAAATACAACTTGACAATACATAGAAGGGACCAGACAAACATTAGATCAATGTTTTAAAATGCGGAGGTGTGATGTGAGGTGTTCCACTACCTAGAGGCATGAAGCATAGTTCAGAACGTAAGAGGCGTAAGCCTCCCGAACACAAGGAGGTGTAAGCTTCCTTAAGAGAAGGGGGTCAGGAGGAAGGAGGAAGGAGAGGAGGAAGAAAAGGAAGGGGGGTCTCATTTTTTCTTTATTTTTAATAAAAATATTTTATATTAAGAAGAACAAAGGTTCATAGCACTAGTTGAAAGGGGGGGTCTTGTTGAAGAGGGGGTGAGTGAGTGAAGCGAGCTTGCTAGAGCACAAAAAAACAAATTGAGCTGCATTGGAAAGGGGGGTCTTTTCTTCCCTTTTCTTTTCTTTCCTTTTCTCTTTTTTTCTTCTCTTTCTTTCTTTTTCTTTCCCTTCCCTTTCTTTTCTTTTCCTTTCCTTTCCTTTTTTTCATTTTTTTCTGTCTTTTCATATGAGGTGTGCATGAGGTGCATGAGGCATACAAATATCTAGTTTTATATCATGCTTCATATCTAGTTTTCAAAGCTATGTCATTTCTTAGTACAAATATCTTGCCAAATTTAATTAATCATCAAATATATACAGGCTTTTTATTGTATAATTATTCAAAATATACCAAAATTACAAATTTTAAAATACTAATTATAAAATATACTCAAGAAGTCTATGTGGTATCTGGTGTCATATTGAGTACATATCATGTTGTACACACATAAAATAAGCATAAATGCATGTGTACTGTATAGGATCAAGTATCATAGGTTTAAGGTGTCTAAGTAATGCCTAGAGGTGTCTTGGCCTAGAAAGGTGAGTTGATGCATGAATGACATTAGCACATTGCCTAGGAAATAAAATAAATAAATGAATACATATTTTAGCACAAGTATTTATGTAATTAGATGTTCATTATAAAACATTAGACCACAAATGAATTTCTCCTAAGCAAAACGGCAAGCACATTACATGACTAGGCATCCTTATAGCCAGCTTCCTACAGACATTTTCTCCCTTGGAAAGTAATAATTTCTCTGCATGTTAAAATACTGGCAATCACCAGACAACTATTTTGTCGGATTCAAGTTGATGCAATTTAGTTGATCTCATGTTGTGGGTAGAACCCCTTCGTCGTTTACCATATATATCATAGGCTATTACAATGACCTTCTGTTCTTTACTCTTCATAAGAGGTATAGTAGAATAGATTTACCCCTTACAAAAACATTGGTAACAAAATAATGAGAAATATTTACAATAACCAGGCAGAAATTGGGTTAAGTGATACAACTAACCTCACACCAATCAAGGCAATCAATGGCTGTCACAGCCAAATGTGTGGAACGCTTGGTGTTCGTAATCTCACGAAATGCACGCCACATAACCATTGGCTCCCAACTCAAGCCAGATGTAAACTCAAGCGCATCACGAACAATTACTGGCTCACCCTTGATCCAATGACTCTGGAAGTGTTCCAGTTCCCCGTGTTGAATTTTTCTTGCTGATGGACAGTATAAGTAGTTGTCATCTGAATCCATTCGGGAAGCAGCCTTTAGTGAACTCTTGCTATCAAGACCAATCTTCCCAGCCACATTTAAACAAGTGCACCATTGTGTAGATGATCCACATGCATCAACACTTTTGTGCTTTCCAGCCATTTCTTCTGCTTTTTTTACTAATTCTGAAACAAAATTCTCTTCAAACAAACATCTGAGCTCCAGGTAGCCACAACCACAACCACCCATTGCGGTTGGAGGACAAGGGACGCTACCATTTTCCTCTGCCTTCCATACAGATTCTTGCCCAGCACTATCTTTTGAGCTTGTCTCAGCATGTAAACCTGAAAATTGTTTTACAGTTGACAACTTGAGAGAGGGGTCTCCACCGTGCACATAATCAATCCCTTTATCACAATATTGGATGACTACTTCCTCACCAGCTCCCTGCAGGCACTCCTCGCGAATCTCGCGACAACAAGTAAGGCAAAGGTCATACGAACATTTTGGACAGCTTCTGTGAAAGTCAAAAATAGAAGTTCTGCAGTTGTTGCTGCTCAAGACACGCTACAGCATCAGTTTTGTATAAAATTTTGTGGATCTAAGATATAGAATTACCTAGGGAATAGACTATACCAGTATGCTCGCTCATCGCTATAAAAAATTGCCTTTTGGATTTTCATCTCTGATGGAGCTAACCCTGCCCATTAGAAAACCATAAATAAAGACAAGTTGTTTGGTGTCACTTCTGCACACTGCATTTGGAGATTTAGACAATGGTCTCATTTATAAAGGACACTCAATTCAAAATGAAGTATCTAGTGTGACTTCGGGTCACCTTTTGCAACTCTAGCTCTTAAAAAACCTTAAGCATTTCATGGGGTAGTCTCTGCTAGTATGGATATCATGCACATCCTAATAAAACGGTATCCAGTAAGAAGTTATAAGCCCGGTAAACATGACAGACTATTTGAAGGATATGGATATCATACCTTGAATCCTAGCTTCAATCTCCCTTTCCATCATTTGCTCTTTATCGAACTGTTTCAGAAATGGAAGAAGTGCATCTAACAAATATCTCAAGTGTATACTTTGTTCATCTTCATTCACCATCACATCTGAGATCTCCAGCCCCTACAGATGTATCATGAAGAAGATAATGGAAGTAATTTTAAGTAAGGATACCAATTTACCATATAAAAGTATGAAAAGAAAAAGGAAAAGAAACCTATTCCAAAACCAACCTTACACATTTTATCTTTACGTAAGCATGCTTTACAGTTGCAATTTCCACGACAAAACGGGCAACATTTTTCAATTGCTTCCTCTGACAATTGAGGATACCTATATTTAATGACCAAAAGAAAACAATAATGAAACATAAATGAATTTGTCAATTTTAATAGCAAATGCCTACTCAAGTAAACACCAGATCACTACGTCTTGGAAATATTTTGGTATTACTTAGTTGAATAACCATGTGATTTAAAAGGAGGAAGAAAGAGGGAGATATGATAACTATGACAAGAAAAGGGGGCCGGGAGAGAGAGAAAAGAGAACGAGATATTGGGTGGAAACTACAAAGAAAAATGAAATATATTTCCATGCATTGATGCATGTGACCTGCAGGAGGTGCCCTGCAACATTTGTCAACACTAACCTAGGAATAAACTAGAAGTTTTCCTAGACTTATATTTTAGAAAAAAATCACAGATAAAATGATGTGGCCAGCTTTATCATTTGCTTCTAATGAAATCAATTGAATTTTATCTCAGAAAAAAAAAATGATGTGGCCAGCCATGGGCCAACCTCCAATCTGGAAAGACTCCAAAAAAAAGACACTAAATGAAGACATCATATATAAGAGCCCATCAGTTACTCCTCTTTCATCTCCTTCATATTCAATGTACACTAAGAATCACCTAGAAATTAAACTTAAGAAAACAGGAAGTCTACATTATTGTATTTCATAGTAAAACTAAGTAATTTTTTTATCAGTTGGTAAAACTAAGTAATTGGTTTCCAAAAGCATGCTCTGCATGTAAAGAATGTAACTTTTTACATCATGAATGATACAGGCATCGTGATGACCCTAAAAGCAATGTAGGAGTATTCTAGATTTTTTTTCTTTTAAATTTTTCCAATTCAATTATTTTCTCTTTTAGGATATTTCCCATAGATATGTCTTTCAAACCATGTTTTAGATAGAGAATGAATTGAATTTGAAAATGTTTTCTGTTTTTCTTTTTTTTTTGAGTAGTGTAATTCCTCCATCTTCTTTCTTCTCGAACTTGAAACTCCATTCTAGCATCTACATTCCCCCAAAATTCTCTTTTACAAGTTTAATCAAGATCTGTTGAACCACTATCTCATCCAACTTTCCTCAAGATCTTTTGGGATCTCAACCAACAATTAACAACTGATAAATAATAAAAATAAATAAACATTTGGGATCTCGCCTCTCTTACACACAACTAGCAAGTAGTTGGGTGTTCATGGGAATAAACAGTTAAATTTCTCCCCGATGCAGTGTTGAGCGCCTAAAAGCGTGGTTGATGGCCAAGGGTACATTCAAACTTATGGGGTGGACTACTTGCCAGTTACCAAAATCAATTCAATTCATTTGATCGTATCACTTGCAGCCACTTTTTCAATCTGACATAAGGAAGGCCTCCTCACAGATAAGTTGTGTAGGTTGCTTAATGCAATTTATGGCTTGCAACAGTCCCCCAAGGAGTAGTTCCGATGATTTACTGAAATTGTGGAGCAATTAGGGATGAAGCAATGTCAAGCCAATCACTATGTTTACTTGTAACACAAAAGTGGGGAACATCATACTAGTAGTGTGGTGTATGTTGATGACAATGTAATCACAAGTGGTAATGTTCAAGAACAGAGAAGTTAAAATAGTTGATGGTATTGTAATAACAATTGGCTTTAAACATAATGCCTTCTAAAAAAAATCAGACCTAGTAGTTAGTGGAGTTCCCTCATAGAATAGAACCCATTGGTTGTAATTGGGTGTACACAAATAAATTACAAAGAAGATGGTCTCATTGAACAAACACAGACATATGTTACTGACTACTTGGGACTCTTGTAGAGCTTCTCGTGTTGACAAGATGTATACCATTAAAATCTTAATATCCTTGGTTACAAATTTCTCATCACCATTATATCATATGGAACTCCCTCCCAAAATGTCTATCCCAAGAAGCCAAGGCAAATAACCTGGTTTGAATAACTTGCAGAGGCAAATTAGAAGGCAGAAGTTTCCCTATCATATACATGGTTTAAAATGTCCATAATTTTTTATCAGAAAAGATAATACTTTATTAATTATATCAAAGAAATAGTGCAAGTGATGGGAATTCCATCAGACCAAACAACACCAGATTACAATTTTGCCCAGAACAGAGTGTGTTTGTCCAACTCCCTGCTTTGATAATACATCTTCCATTCCATTTGTCATTCTCACCCATCTAATAGAAGAAATAAGCCTCCTTGCAAAAAAAGTCTATTTCCCTGAAAGCATGTTTGTAGAGCCAAGGTGCAGAATTGGCTTGCCTGGTTCATTAAATGATAATTGTGAATGTGAATCCCCCTCAACTTCCAAATCTCTGACAACCATCTGCTCCACCAATCTAAAGCCTTGTAGTAGGGCCCAAATCTCAGCCTTTACTAAGTTCCCCATGCCAATTGGACCTGAATACAAATCCACCACTACACCTTGGAAGTTTCTAAAGACTCCACCTCTTCCTGCCCTTCCCAGATTGCCCATTGAGCTACCATCAAAGTTAAGCTTTAGCTTATTTACAGCTAGAGGTTTCCAGTCTACTTTCAAGCTTTCCTTGAATCTATCCGTTTGTGCCAGTACAGCTCAGGCTCTTAAAATATCATTAGTTGAATAATATAGACTTACCACATCTTGTGGGGGGCCTATCTGCAACCAAAGAGAGAACAGACAAAGTCCCAAATACAAGTCACAAGGGAATGAGATTAATAAATGAGGGGTAAACAGGTCTTTTTGCCTATATTGCAAAGAGATAAATAATAGGAGGCTCATGTCTCATGCCTCCACTTTTTTCTCCCTCAACATGCATTCTCATCTTTCTTTTCTCTCTTCTATCGTAATTAATAATTTAACATACCTAGCATCAAATTCATAAGGAAGATGAACAAGTATACCAATTCACTTGAAAGATAATAAGATCAAACATATGTTATATAACCATCCAAGGCTCCATACCTTACTAACTAAGTAGATAAACAAAGTTTCTAATTACCACATGTTAGATTCTGCAATCCTTGCATACTTGTTAAGGTGTCACTTAGGCAACAAGGCACCCTTGGTAGGGTGCCTAGCCTGAATACAGAATACCTTGACTTATATCTGTTTGAGTTTTGGGCTGATATTACTTGTTTATTTACACAGCATGGTTAGGGAGTTATAGGGCCTTAGGCCCATTAGTTTATGTTTTAAGTTAAGAGTGCTTATTCAATTCTTACAAGTAGCCTACTTACTAAGGGCATACTTGTCTTTGTAATCTCTTCTATTTGTGAGTATATAATCTAATGAAAGGGGCGGCCAGACCTAATTTTTGGCTTCTCCCATTCTCTTCAATCTCTCTTTTCTTTCTTTCTCTGCAGAAACCTTTTCTTCTCATTCTTTTCTTCTTTCTTTTACAGTTTTTATATCAAAACAGGTCTTCCAAACTTTTCTACTATATCAATTCATCCTTCTAGGTGGGTCGGCACACCCTCAAATCAGCAAACACCCAACCATCTGGGTTCACCTACAAGAATCTCACTCCACCATTGCACTCTATTCAATGCCACTAGCAATTGCTTTTTTTTATCAACATATATCCATTGCTATATTATAGGCCCTCAAATCATTTTCCAATACTTTAATCAATATCCTTTTTGGCCTGCCCCTACCTATCATGGAACCTTGAACATGGAACAAGTCACTTCCATCATTGATCTTGTAGATGGTCTTTTATGAACATGAGCCAACCAAGTAATCTCCATTCCCTCTTTATCATCTATTGGGGCTACTCCTAGAGTCTGAGGTTCAGACAAATACACTCATTTTTAATCCTACTGCTTCTGATTTCCCCATCCATCCATCTCAGCATCCGTGTTTCTGCTAAATTCATTTCTTCAACATGATTGCTTTCTAACTAGCCAAAATTCAATTATACAATATTATGTTGGCCTAATAACTATGTTACAAAAATTTCTTTTTAGCCTAAGTGGTATTCTCCTATCACACATGAGATATGACTCCTGATGTAACCCTCCACTTTTCCCATCCCACTCCAATTCTATCAGTGGCATCATCTTCAGCCACTCCTAGATGACAAAAATCACGACCCAGGTATCTTGTCACGATTTAACTACTATGGTTGCATCTTATTAGCATATGTATTCGTGCAGCTTATAATTTTTATTCTATGTTGTGCATATTTCTTATTCTTTATTTTAGAGTTTTATTATTGAGCTATAAAAGATCCAAGGGCTTTGAGAAGAGAAAAATGAAAAGATGCTAGGGCAATAAAAGAGGTTTCTTCTTAACTACAACTATTTTATCCTTCTCTTTACCTTGTTATTTTTTCGCTTTTTATGACACTATAGCTTAAACTTTTGTTCATAAAAAATTATAATTTATAACCTTCTATAAGTGCTAATTTGGCATGAAATTTCTCTTTTAAATACTTATTATGTGATAATGGTATGCTTAAAATATTGAAATGAATAATTTAAAATTATATTGTCTTTTAGGTATGGCATTTTGCCATGTTTTGATAGGAAAATTAATGTTATTAGCAAGAATCAATGCTATTGTTTCAATTTATATGCATGTTAATTGATATATAAAACTAGAGGATTGATATAAAATTTAGTTTTTACTTCAAAAAAAAAATCTATTACCTAGGTGACTAGATAGTCTGCTACACACTCCACTGCCACCTAGAATTGCCTATAATGCCAATAACAACTATGTCTTTGTTCCAGAAACTAAGGCCTAGAAACCTATATTAGTAACTAACCATCATAGGCCAAAGAGATGAGTACTAAGCAAGATTTCAATTGCCAAATTATATATGGGCATTGATCATATTGATCATTGAACATGTAATTCAGCTCCTAAAGCTAAATCAAAATGAAAATACCTTCTTACATCAGCAGGATTTACCTATAATTATCTCCTAGTACATGCAAAAAAAGGACAAACAAAATACCAAATTCATTTGTATCTACCAAACACCAAACAACACCAATAGGATTTTTTTGGTAAAAAACACCAATAGGATTTATCAGGCATCATTTTAATTTCTAAATCTAACTGGGATTAAAGCTTTGATAAGCTGAGCTTATTAAATCTAGCTAGAGCACAACATAAAATAATTACAACAAGAGCAGTTACAAGGAAGAACTAATGGTTATTTCATATTTGTAATGGATAACAGATTCGGATGGAACCATATTATCAAAACAACATTGTACAATAAAATTTGGAAACTAAAACACTATCCATCAGAAAATAAAAGCTCACCATCTCTGTATGCAGGGAACACAATATCGCTTCCTGTTACAGCCCTTGCACCAAACAACCCTTTCTTTATCACTCCTCTGGCATTGATGGCACATAGAAGAGTCTGCATCAATGCCCTGTTTATCCAAAACAAAAGGAAAGAAAAGAATGAAAACAACTAACTTCCCTCAATTACAGAACAAAGAAATCAAAAACATCAAGACAAAAAATAAGGATTTACATATTGATTTCTCTTCTTTCCGCTCCCCAGCCCTACGTGTTTCATCATCTCCATATTCTCCACTGTCCTTTTCCGTAATCTCATTGTCGTCTCTGTCCCAAGACCACTTCCACCACTCAAAACCCTAGCCGAATTCGAACCCCCGAACTCCCTCTCCCCCTCATCCAAAACCTCTTGCTTCACCTTCGCCAGTGCCATTTTCCTCCCACTAAACTTATTATTTCTCCTCTCTGGCCCCATTTCCTCCTCCGAAACTTCACCTTTTAGGTTCGCAGTTGCAATTCTCTTCCCCCAACCCAAACCACGCCTCTTCAAACCGTTTGAAGCCCTAGCTGAAGAAGAATCCGTCCTTCTTGTATCCACAAAATCCCCATCCTCCTCCTGCTCCGAAACTTCACGCTTCACTACCCTCTTCCGTCTCACCATTTTCTTTTTCTTCGTAGAATCGATTTCCACCTTCAAGGTTCTTCCAATGTTAACCGACCTATCAGAAGCCTCACTCTTCTTCTTCTTCCGTCGTTTCTTTCCCTCCACCGCAAACTCCTCATTGCTTTCTTCTTCACTCTCAAAACCGTCTTTCCCTCGCCCCCTCTTCTTCGAAAAATTCCGGTTCCCCCGCTTATTCTTCGCTTTATGGGACTCCTTTTTCCTCTCAAGCGCACGCGTCTGCATCTTCAAGTAATGCTCTTGGCAGAGAGACTTTCCCTGAATTTTCCAGTTCTTGCATCGCCATATCTTCCCGTCGCTACGTTTGCAACGCAGTTCGTCAGGAGGAGTGTCTCGATCGCTATCCGTATCGTTTTTCGTCTCAGACATATCGAAAACCCGAGTTCCAAAGGTCGGAAAAACACTTTTTCCTGTTCTCAGCAATACTGGTTTTGAAAAATACCGCTTTGTCCCGCCAAAGAGAGAACGATTTCCTTCCCTCGAAAACGGAGAAGCCGAGAGACGGAGAGAAGAGTTCTATTGTATTTGTATAGAACAGAAAAAGGATAAAAAAAAAGAAAAGAAAAGAATAAAAACGAAGTTCTTTCTTCTAACCTGCGCACCAGAGCTCATAATAGCCAAAAACTCACGTGACAGGTAAGCTTGGCGCCAAGACGTCAACTCAAATCGTGTCAACTATTCGGCCACTGATTACATGCGGTCGACCACACTGTAACTAAACGCCACCTAACATACGACACCAAATTCATCACCGTTCAGTAATCATCAACCGATCGTTACAGTATACAATCGTTAATTGTCAAAAAAGTGCACCGTAAGGACAAGGGAGTTGGGACTTGGGAGCAATGAAGGAAACTACGGACGGAAGTACACTGTTTTACATGGCAGTTTCGGAAATTCTGCAATGAGCCGCATCTTGACGTGAATTCCCAAAGCGGTGTCGTAAATCGTAATCAGTAGGAGACCTCGCAAAAAGTTGTCACAACCCGCAAGCCCGATCCAACCCAAATTGAAAAAACATGGTTAGGATTTTGAGTCCGCGTAGCGGTGGGTGCACTGGACGAGTGCACCCTCCAATGAGATTCGACCACGTCAGTTGGGCGAAAAGAACCTAAAGTTAACGTTTCTCTTGGCCGTTAACTAAAGTGACCAGTTGAACCCGACACAAAATGAACTAAAAAAAATATCTCAGTTTTAACCCTCCCTCCCATTTTCTGTTTCCTCTCTATCGAACCCTACCTTATACACCAGCGAGCTCAATCCATACCCAAATTGAAAAAACATGGTTAGGATTTTGAGTCCGCGTTCTGTGGACCTGTGGGTGCATTGGACGAGTGCACCCTCCAATGAGATTCGACCACGTCAGTTGGGCGAAAAGAACCTAAAGTTAACGTTTCTCATGGCCGTTAACTAGAGTGACCAGTTGAACCGGACACAAAATGAACTAAAAAAATATTTCAGTTCTAACCCTCCCTCCCTCCCATTTTCTGTTTCCTCTCTATCGAACCCTACCCCACACACCAGCGAGCTCAATCCACACCAGCGTCCGTCCACTCGGAACCACCGGTGGCGAGAGTGTCCGAATCTTCGCTCAACTTCCAAGAAGTCGCCCAACGAAGAAGGTCGCTTCGAGTCGCTCAATTTGATATCTTACTCAAATTCAAAGCCACTCTTCATTTTTTTGATACACATGCTTTCCATTCCTAGACAGCGGAAAATGCACCCAGCAACTTCACCGGAGTTTTATGCGGTTCCGAAGGATCCGTGACAGGAATCAATTTGCCCAATCAGCGTTTGGTCGGAGTCCTTCCACTCGATTTCATCTGTCAGCTTTCATCCCTGCGGGCGCTCTACCTTGGAAGCAATTTCCTACACGGACTCATTACACAGGATTTGAACAATTGCACTAGACTGCAGCATTTGGATCTCGGTTTCAATCTTTTCTCCGGAAGGGTGCCCGATCTCTCTTCTCGGCAAATTAGAGCTCCTCTGTCTAAATGCCAGTGGACTTTCGAGTCATTTTCCATGGAAATCACTAGAAAACCTGACCAATCTCGCCCTCTTGAGTCTCGGAGACAATCAATTCGATGCGAGTCCTTTCCCATTGGAGGTTCTGAAGCTCCGGAAGCTGCACTGGCTCTATCTCTCGAATTGCAGTCTCCAAGGACAAATTCCAACAAGTATCGGGAATCTTGTACTGCTCACAAACTAGAACTCTCCAGCAATGATTTAATCAGTAATATTCCCGCCGATAATTGTGAATCTTAAAAATCTCACGCAGCTTAAGTTACATGCCAATGGATTGACCAGAAACATTCCACTCGGGTTAACGGGATGCATACCGCAATCTCTTGCGCTGGAAGGTTATAACGGCAGCTCCGCTGATAGCCCCTGACTCTGTGGTCCGAACAATGGCTAATTTGGTCCCTGTCCGTCAGATTCTGGCAGTTCAGTGGAATTCAGAAATCAGAATCCAAGGGCAGAAAAAGCCAAAGTAATAGAATGGAGATGCTGAAGAAGAAGAAATCAGGAAATCCGTCGGAATTCGACGCGGAGGTGACAGACGGTTTATCTCTCTGCATCTCTCTGCAATCGTGTCAAATAAGAGAACTCAATTGTATCCGGTTCAACCGGTCACTTCAGTTAACGGCCATGTGAAGCGTTAACGTTAGTTTCTTTTCGCCCAACTGACGTGGTCAACTCTCATTGGAGGGTGCATTCGTCCAGTGCACCCACTGGTCCACAGAACGCGCTCTCTAGAGTTTTATATTTAACAATTTGGGTCATGAGTCAATCCGTTGATTCGATTATCTGGTCTAATTATTATAATTTATATATATTATTAAAAGTTTTTACTTTTAATTTTTACTATTCGGTATTTACTCTTTATTATTTAAGTTTGAATTGTTAAATGTTTAACCTTTTTACTTTATGTTTGAAATTTTTAAGGTTAATTTTTTAATATTTTTATGTATTTTTTATTTATTTTTCAAATTTTCAATTATTTTTATGGACGACCTAAATTGACTCATGGGACACTAACCTGAACTTTTAGGGTTAAGGTTTAAAGATTATGACCCAACCCGAAGCATATTGACCCAACTCAAACCCGACCCATGGAACCCAATTACCAGGTCTATTCATAGGGGTGAGTCAGATGATCATTCTTGGCCCGGCTGACTCAACCCGCATAGTTTTTGGCTCGAGCCTGCATCAAACTTATAAATTCTATGTTGGGCTTGGGGCTCACACTTCAAACCCTACCGAGGCCTAGTCTAGCTCATAATATAAGAAGTATATTTTATATGGTTTATATACAAGTACATTTTATTTTAGAGCTAAATACTTAAAATACCCTTATGGTCTATCAAATTAACACAAACCTACCCTACTATTTAAGAAATTACTTAAAGGACTCCAAACATTTCTAACAATGGACAAATCTGATCCTTACCGTGAACTCCCTGTTAATATCCGCTAGAATGTGCTATCACGTGACGCTATTGATTCTTCGAAAATACAAAACTACCCCTTTTGTAGTCAAAAATACCCTTAGGCATTTGATTGCATATTCCATTCAAACTATTTGGGAAATAACATCCCTTACTCACCCACCCTTTTCCCCTCTTGTTATGTCTACAACCATGGCAAACAATGGAGATGTAGTGAGAAAGTTGGTGACCGACACCGCAAAGACAAAGCTCATAGAGTCATAGTGGGTTTAACTTGGATTAGTGACCATCCTAATGTGCAATGTAGGAATGCATTGTCTTGCATCTGTTCAACGAAAACGTTTGGTAGGATAGCCATGTGCATACCTAGTGCGTGCGGCACAAACCCCGTCCATCTAGCCCAAAATATGGTGAAGAATCAATTTTTGGTTAAGTATTGATTTGGCTAAGTACCTCGTTATTTGGTCTGCTTCCAAGTGGTCGATGACTTAGGACGAAGTGGAGAACTTTGGCTGCCGAGTTTAGTCAAGCTGGGCAGGCTAGATGGAGAGCTGACTATAGTGTTGAGCTGCCTATGAGGTGCCGAGCTTCCTGTGAGGTGCTGGGCTGACCAGGTGCCGAGCTGCCTGTGAGGTGCTGGGCTGACCAGGTGTCGAGCTGCCTGTGAGGTGCTGCCTGTGAGGTGTTGGCCTGACCAGGTGGCGAGCTACCTGTGAGGTGCTAGCCTAACCAGGTGTCGAGCTGCCTGTGAGGTGCTGGCCTGACCAAGTGGCGAGCTGAATTGATGAGCTTCGTTGCTCTTTAGAGACCTGCAAGGAACCAAATGTCAGAGGACCCGGGGGGGCTAACCCAGCGAGGGTCGCTCCGATGCTTAAGTTAGTACTCTCATAATAACCTGCGAGCTAAAAATCACAAAGTCTGAGAGCTACAACCTCCCCCTTACTTATGGGGTTGGTGCCTTTATATAGGCATTGTTTGGCGTGGGCTTCACGCACCATATCCGAGATTTCTATGAGGTCGTCTAAGTGGTTCGAGATTCCTAGAGATAACCGCCACGCACGTTGACCACCCCTAGTACGTGGGCCAACTTCCAAGGATCGTGGGAGTGTTAGGATGTGCATGTCGAATTTGTCGGTGAGCACGCCTCGTAGGTCGCCAGGTCGGCGCCTAGGCCAGGCTGCCAGGCCGCGCCTGTGTCGGGCCACGTTTGTGCCCTATGTCACAATATCATTGGAGGGCCAAATCTGCCCTCATCATTTGCCCCCCACTCCCGAGCCGAAAGTAACTCGGCGAAGATAGTAGATTTCTCCTTTTGGCCCATAATGAATAATTAGATGAGCTCATAAGCGTCGATTCAATTCCTTAGGTTATGGGAGCGACTTGCAATCTGCTCCTTGATTTTGCCCATGTCGAAGAGGCGACTGGGTCTTATGTGGTGAAAAGATCTTCGCTAGTTCGGTATTTTGGCCCTTAGGCTCTAGGAGCGACTCGTAGTCCACTCTCCTTGATCTTGCCCATGCCGAAGAGGCAACTGAGTCTTATATGGTGATGAGGTCTTCGCTAGTTCGGTATTTTGGCCCTTAGGCTCTGGGAGCGACTCGCAGTCCACTCTCTTTACCCTTGATTTTGTCCATGCCGAAAAGGTGACTGAGTCTTATGTGGTGCTGAGGTCTTTGCTAGTTCGACACTTTAGCCCTTAGGCTCTGGGAGTGACTCGTAGTCCACTCTCCTTGATCTTTGATTTTGCCCATGTCGAAGAGGTGACTGAGTCTTATGTGGTGTCGAGGTCTTTTATCAATTCGGCACTTTAGCCTTTAGGCTCTGGGAGCAACTCGCAGTCCACTCTCCTTACCCTTGGTTTTGCCCAAGCCGAAGAGGTGACTGGATCTTATGTGGTACTGAGGTCTTCGCCAGTTCAGTACTTTAGTGCTATGGTTGCACTGCATCAGCCTCGTGACGCCTGTCACCCACTCCTACAAGAAGCTACTAGGAGCTCGACCTACGGGGGCAGCACTACTGACTTTAGGTCGCCAGCTCACACGGGAGCCTTGGAAGGCTCGACCAGCAATGGCGTCCATGCAGTCTG